TGTAATCGACGACTTACCTGAGTATTCTTCACTAGAGTCTTAGTACCAAGCTTATTTCTGAACTTAAATCTTGAATGGAGAATAAATTCTCGAAAAATAGGTACCAGTATAATAATAGCTCTGTAGATCAGTATAACTCCAGATGTTACTACGAGTACTAAGAACCAAAACCAGATGAAAAGGTAGATCTTTTCGTTGATAATATTGACAGCCAAAACACACAGAGCATCTCCTTTTTCTATTGTTCCTGATGGGCCGTACTTGTGAAACGTACATTTGGTCAATCGTGGAAATATTTTGATCATTGGATCATCGCGTTCATCTGGATCCGCATTGATAAACGCAAGCCAATCACTGCCATAGTTTAAAAAGTTACCGCCCAGAAAACTATTCATTAGTAAAATGTTGGTCACCTAAAATTCCGTGGATTAATTAAATAGTTTTTAATTTTGCAGGGGAATCTACATTAATCGATATTAATATGATATCTGTGCAAAGAATTCACAAGAAAATGCCTGGCTAGTAAACGTTTTTTAAAAATTATCCTACTGTGAAAATAATACGTCACATCTACCGTTATCGGGACATATGGTTTTTTATACGATGTAGCAACAGTTTTATCATCTTAATTGATCAAAAGCTCATCAGTTATCTAAAACTAAAGTAACAAAGTATAAAACTCACCACATTGACGAAATTCAAGACCTCGCAAAAAAAGTACACAGCCGCATATGTATTATGCATATGTAGAGTTTCGTAGATGTACTTTGCAAGATTCTGCGTACGAGTTCTTCGTTCGATCTTTGAGTCAGTAATAATACCTCGCATATTTTCCGATATAATTTGTACCTTCCCGCTCTCCCAGTATTTCCACAACCAATGAGGTATGTAGAATAGGACAGCTTGGAAGAATAGTACGAATGGCACCCACTGGTAGTAGGATTGGTATCGTTTTTCTTCACCACCTTTATCGTACTCGTTACCCAAGTTATCATTCATTTTCGGTAGGATGAAGGTAGACGTTATCCAACAATACGTTCGGAGCGCTGAAGATCTTTCCTCTGACAAGCATTCGATGGAATTCTCTGTAGGAGTTAGAAGGTTATTGTGAATGAGATTAGGAATTTCTTTTGATTTATACCTATCAGGGTAGGACTTTGAAAATCAATTCCTTAAAAAATGTAAGCAATGAGAGAGGTACTGGTTAACTTGCGTAAAGTCACTATTCCAATTATTATGCACATGAAATACTTATTTTTTTTAAACTTATTTGAAATTGACGCTTTAACGTATGTACTCGCGTTTGTCTATTCAATAAAATGTGTCTTAAATAATATAGAAGTTTGCCAACACTTACAGACATCTAATTACGTATATTAATTTTGAGTTACGTCATACTTAAAACAGTAGAAAATGTTTGTGCTTAGTTATTTTTCATAAATGTTTTTTATATAAGTAAAATTAGTAATATTTAAGCTATTCTATGTCATTGACGTAAGTAGAATAACAATTTCAACAATTATTAAGTGACCACTATTTATAGTGAATATTCATTTAAAACTGTCGAGTACTTACCTGATAAGTAGCTTGTTGTAACTAGTAGACTACTGGCAAAGAGGATAGCCGAAGTGAATCTATAGTGTAATCTGAAGGCTACATTATCGATAACGGCATGATCGATTAAATTTCGTACTCTAAAAAATTTAGAGATACCCGTGAATAGTTCTAACATAGCCATCTTTCTCGGCTTTTACGCTGTAACAAAATGTGAATATAATTATTATTAGATAGTATTTATTCATCTGAACACATAACATGTACATCAGCATTTTTCTGTCATGTTTAAAGTCAAGGACATGAATTAAATTGTTTGTGCCTGTCCACGGTTGAGAGACATTTAATAACAGTATGTGATATAACTTTAAACTGGCTTATGTATCTTAAAATTTTAACCCTAAAGTATCTTACATCTAGATACTTAAGACATCTATATTATAAAGAGATTAACTCAATGAAACATGATTCAAGTACCAAGAAATTTCAACATACTCATATTAAGTTGAGTTTTGTAGTTTGAGGATATTTTGTCATTGCTTTTATATGTAGTTAGAAAGCACATTACGCTGATTTATTAAAAAAGTGAATACCCGAAAATATTTTGTCATCGTTAAATTAATGTTTAGATTATAAGCTTTTTAATAAATCAACACACGGTTAAGCGTCATATCATGTAAAAAAACAAATTCCTGGTTATTGTCTTGGAATTTTAAATAACACTATGAAATAGCTTTTTTTATTTTTAACCCTTAATTAAAATAGTATATTTCTAACTTAAAATGACGCATATCGTCAGGGCAAGCACCGAAATTGAGGGATTCCTCGTGCTTACCCTGGTCGGATGTGAATTAGATGTGAACCATACATTTTTTTTAATGTAAGGGTAGAGAAAACGTTTAAAGGTAAGAAATGGCAAGATAGAAAAATATTGGTTTTTTTTTTAAATTTCTTAAGCAATCGTAGAGTAAAGATTTGTTTTACTAAATAATTGTAATACGAATATAAAGTTGTATTTTTAATTTAAAACAATGGGAAATTTATTACTCAAATCTGTATTGTGGTGATTAACATGTACATATATGTCTGTATAAACATATTTAAAAAACGGAAACACAAGGAGGTCTATCAAATTATAGAAAATGACAGCAAATTCTACATATTCATACATGTATAAAAAGTATTTTATCAAAAAACCGTACAACCTCGTATAAAATGAAAAAAAGATTTTAGTTTAAAAATAGAACAGTAAGAAACGTTATCATACTACGATATTTTACATTCTTCAATATTTTACAATGATACATACATTTTTCACCATTTACAGCCTAAAGAAAAATAAAATTTACTGTCGCTAAAGTATCACTGGATTTTTCAAATTTTTAAAGCAACAGCTAATTGAACTCAGTTGAATATAAATAAAATTGTTTCACAGAAAATATTACACTACCTGAAAAACACTTTTAAGGAGCTGAGTAATAATCCAAAAAACAGTTGCACTAAGAATAAATTGTAGCTATAAGTACGAAGAGAAGAGTATACATGCACGCATGTACTTACACTTTATGAAATGAGTTTTTGCAAATGAGTGAACTTGCTTGCGTTCGATGTTAAATGAGTATAATATATACAAATAGTAGGGAGGGGGGGGGGTTCCGTACCTCGGGTCGCTTCAATCGTCACCTCCTACTTATAAAAAAAAAAATGGTGGAGGGGTCTTGAGATTTCTAATACTTAGAAACGAAGTTGATTCATACCTGAACGAAACACTATCAGACATTAATTTTAACAGCCACTCGTGTGTTACTCATACGTACACACCTTTCTCGTAAAAGTTTAGTATAAATATCTCAAAATTGTTTCACTACTATTTTGTATTCAAATGAAACTAGTAATGAAATAAAAATCAAATACAAAAAAAAAAGGTGGTAAAATAGTGTTTATTAGGTAAGTATGAGCTAGTAAGTACAAACTACTTACTCAGGCAGATATAATATATACAACATATTATGTTGTTCGGCTCTGCTTTTAGAATATTTTGGCTTTCTACATATGATCCGTATGCTTATAACACGTATATTATTCATGTATTATCCATAAATCTAGCAAAAACTGCATCAATAGTTGTGCATCATCGTATTGCATGGATATCTTTGGATTTGTAAGGATTTGTAATTGAAATTCATCTCAATGAAACTGTAATTGCATCAGTGAAGTTGCCGTGCAGAGTAGCATACTTCAAAATTTTTTTTACAATGATTGAACGTAAAATTATTAAAAGATTATTATTTAACTATAAATTTTTAACAGTTGAAGCTCTTTTGCGTGTCAGTACTTTGTACATACTAGTCAATACACTCCTAATAAATACTATTTTACTCAAATTCACTTTGTAAATTTCTTAATTTTAATACTGTGGTATGCTTATGCATGTAGGTATATGTCAACACATGTTATTGTCAAAATTAGCATCGGATAATTCAGGGGCCCCGAAAACCCTCACGCGTTTATCTTCATCCATACTTTATAATGGTAAAGAACTTAAGTAATAGAATTACTGACTATAAATTATTCATTTCGTATATAATCAGTGGTGACATCTATAGTGCAACGCCTGTTGCAATATCAGCTCAAACAGGCGAGTTTTCTGTCGTAAGTAACGTGAGAAGCATTCAGAAGAGTAAAAGTTATAAAATGTAATAAAAAAATTGAAAGTGCTCTCTGCATAACGTTTTGATGTTGGGGTGCTTAAATGAGCTCTAACTTGATTAAATGTGAGGAAGTTGTGGTAAAATTATTTATAGAAACATCCAGTATGGTTTACTTACGTTTTATATACTGCTGGTAATGTATACTACATTCGGCTCTGTAAGCTGTGTTCATACTGGCGGCCGTTAAGTCGTTTTATCTGTCTCCCCCCTCTAGTAGCCTTTAGTTGTACTGGGCGAGAGAGTTAAGTCAAAGGAAATTCATAGGGAGACCGGGCTATATAGGGCTCCGGGGTTATTCGAACACTTGCTATTATTTTCAAATTAACGGTAATAAAAAAAAAAAGGAAATTAAAGTGCAGAGTCTAATCAAACTTTTGAAAGTTTAATATTTTATCTTACGAAATTCAGCATTAATTACATTTATGTTCTAATGAATGCATCAGATAGTGTTGCCATTTACAGGACACATTTAGGAATTATCACTTCATTTCTGGTATACATAATTTCGATTTTAACGAGTTAGAGTTTTGTCTATGAAATACAATAATATCAGGAGATAGTCCTCTGACGTATTTTATCTATGAATTTTTAATGACAACTCGTTTTTTACTAAACTCTGTTTTAACAAAAAAAAAAAAAAAAGAAAAAAAAAATGTGCCAATGGAACAAACACCCAACTAGGAAAAACAACATAGTTATCACTTTTATTTACATTATCCGGTTGTACAGTATAAGTATAAAAATCATTCTTTTTTACACGATCGTAGTATGTACGGATGGCTTATAAGGTTCTTCTTAGACTGTTACATTTGGCTCCGTTGCTCAGTAAACTTGAGCGTAGTTGGTTTTCCAACTCTTTCAGAACTTCGTTGAAGTATATTCCATTTATGTTCTGACCGAGGAGGTAGAGCAGCAGAAAATCACCTATCTGAAAGTTAATGCAACGTTAAAATGAATAATTTTTTCATTAGTATTGCTCTTACAACTTCTGAATATTTTTGGAAATAAAATATACTCCTACAACTGTTTTGAACCAATAGTAATACAATATAGAATCAGATAAAAATATATTATGTGAAGAGCAATCAGTTACTGAGATCTAGAACTTGTGTTCTTTTTGTTTATTATCATTTAATTTGCAGATATTCTTTGTTACTAACATGTTTCAAAACTCTTTTATGTAGTTAATTATACTTATGTATGATACAATAAATATATTTATTACAACTATAAATTCATATTTATACTATCTAATTTTAGAACACTAATATTAAACAAGATTTAAACAAAAATATGAAAATACACGATCAATGTGCTACTTGATATTATAATCTGAATTAAATAAATTATATTTGAATTGATGACTTACTTGGGTTTCCTCTACCAAAATCTTAACACCCGGCTTAGAGTGAAACTTGAACATCTTTTGGAGAATTAATTCTCGAGAGATGGGTAATAATATGATTATCATGCTGTAAATAATAGCGGCCCCGGACATGATGGCGAGTATGATGAACCAAAACCAAAGGAATATGTAGATTTTTTCGCTCACAACGTTGAGGGCTAAGATGCACAGGGCATCGTGATTCTGAATAGATCCCGATACGCCGTACTTGTAGAAAATACATTTGGTCATCCGGGGAAAAATTTCGATCATTGGATCGTGACGTTCATCTTGATCCGCATTAACAAACGAAAAAATTTTCAAGCCATAGGTTAAAAAACTACCACCTAGAAATTTGTCCAGCATGAAGATGTTGGTCAGCTTAAAAAAATCAAAGAAAACAATTGTCATTTATTGATATTAAATTTCAGTTAATTAATTAATTATTAATAAATTAAAAAAAAAATTTTTTAACAAGGGGCGTTTAATTATAACTTTGAAGACTTTTCAAATGTGTTTCATTTGTATGCAAATTTTGATTTTTTATGTCAAAAAATAAATAGTCCAACCGAGTGAAAGCTAGAGGATTGAAAATTTTTTTATTGTCATTTGAAATTTCTATTTTAAAATTTGAAAAAGGGGTTTGGAAAAAGGAAACCCAAATGGAGATGAAATTTTTTGAGTTTAAAAAGTTTTTTTTTTTTCGCTTGGGTGAGACGATTTACTTGTTGTTATACTGCATCTATATGTGCAATAGATATACTGGGACGTTTTGTCGTACTTTAAAACAAAATAGCCTTGGACATTACAATTGGGGCTTTTTTATTTTCTAAAATAAAAAAACGTATCACAGTTAAATTAAACATTTTCAACTTCAAAATTTCAGCCTCAGACTGGAATTATACATGGGCATGTGAGTCATATAATCATTATATAATATATTTACAATTTCCAAACTTGATCTAACTCACCACATTGACAAAATTCAAAACTTCGCAGAAAAAGTAAACGATTGCATAGCTGTTATGCAGGTGTAGCGTGTCGTAGATATATTGTACAAGCCGCTGAGTAGAAGTTTTCCGTTTACTGTGTGCGTCCACAGTAGAACCTCGGATTCCGTCGGAGATAGCTTTAATCTTGCCACCTTCCCACTGTTTCCATATCCAGTGGGGTATGTAAAACAATATACCCTGCACGAATAGCGTGAGCGGTACCCACTGATAATAAAATTGGTATTTTTTTTCTTTCTTGTAATCGTTGCCCAAGCCAATGATGTCATTTTTTTCACTTTTTATAGTATATGTGGAGAAGATCCAGCAATAGGAATTTATTACTTTTTCGTTGTCTTCCGTACCTTCCGTGAGACATTTTATAGGATCACCTACGAAAATGAGAAACTTTTTAATCACGAGTCAAATGATCATTTCAAAATTTATTTTTATGTAATTTTACGCGCAGTACTATTAATTAATTCATGATTTAAGTTTTTTTGTTTTACCTCATAAAAACATTTAAAATTAAAAGTCTATGCTATATATTTGTTTGAGTACTGCCTGATTCTAAAATATTAATATCAAAAGAGAGTGGTCCTATTGTAGAGAAAATTTTTAATTGGTTGGACAAATTTTTTAGGTGGGTAAGCTTCACAGAAAGATAATTCCAATAAAGATATAATAGTACTGATCATTGAAATTGAAATCATACAGAAAAGTGTTGGTGAAAACGTAGGGCTTACGCTTATTTTCAGGCACGGCTGCTTCACAAAAGTGCCTTATTTATGTGTATCTTGGTTAGGAAAACATATTCTTTAATTTACAAATATTGTACTAATTGAACCCTTTGGCTATTAACTTCGAGTAATAAATGGATAGGTGGAAAAGAAAATTTATTTTTATTGATTTTTGCAACGTAAGACATAAATCGGTTGTTGTAATTAAACCATTGGCGTAAATCTGTTCATTAAACATACCTTTGAGTCTAAAATTGCATAAATTTTTTTTTGGTAAAATAAACAAGTTAATTTACTGCACATTCCAATTAATTTTTGTTTCAAAAATGTGTTGCAGCATTGACTAATGAAATTGCATAAATCAGTGAATTCAAAGTATGAAAAAAAAAAATCTAGAGCTGTTACTGTAGGGTGATGCTTCAAATTTATTTCATGGGGTACGCACGAGTGGGGTAAGCTAATGTACTCACCTATCAGATGATTTGCTGTGACTACCAAGCAACAGGTGAAGATAATCGCGCAGGTGATTTTATAGTGCGCTCTAAAGACTACATTATCTATAACGGCTTTATCCGCCAAATATCGTATTTTTAAAAAACCAGTAATGACTGACAGTAGTCCAAAAAGTCCGGTCGCCGCCATCGTGGACAGATTTTTTGCTGTTAAACAAAAAAACAAACATAAGTACAATGAAGGACACCTTATTTATGCACAATAATGCACAAAGACAGGTTGAAATTGGTCGAATGCGAAAAAACGCTAGCTTGACTTGTAGCTCTACATAATATGGATATATGAAGTATAAATGGATCAAAGTGATAACTGGAAGGGTACAAAAGTACAAAAAGTTATCTTACCAACAAACAAAGCTTTTTCAATATAGACAGTTTGTCGTCGTACAAATAGTAAATAAAACTAAATGTTCAAATGTTCAAAATGCACGATAATATGAACACAAAACCAAACTGAGCTTGATGAAAATAAAAATTAACATCCCACTGGGGTAGGAACAACAATCACTACTGCGTTAAAAGTGATTCCATGGCAGGGCCTTGAGGACGAAGTAGGTATATCCCATTATCACAATCCGAGCTGTAGTTAGGAAATGAGTAATGAACTGTTAATGTTACGATGGTCAGGTATACGTAATTGACAAAGATCGTACTGATAACAAAGGGTCTTGGTTCGCCCCTAGTTCCAGTGAATTGTAATTTCACTTTGTGTCCACAAACTTTACTTTGTTTTGCTATACGTACCATATGTTTCGAATAGTCTAAGTTATTTGATTGTTTTTATCAAAAAGTATACATTTTTTTTCTAAGACTATTTTATATAGCACATGCCTAATTATACATGGCAGAAAGTGATCTACCGTGAGCTGCTTAAAAAAAAAATACTATTTAACAATTTACACGTAGCATATTTTTAATGCCAACTAATATTTATTATATGGAAATAGATGTTCAGTGATACATTAACTATGTAGATGTACTTTTTTTCACAATGTCTTAGAATCGACAGCGTCTGGGTTGCAAAATATCTTTACTTTCTTAAAAAGTCTTTACTCTTATAAAGTCGATTATCTTTATGACTTAATTGTAAAATATGAGCAGATTTGATTGATATAATGTATGTATGACCAGAGAGCTATAATAGCTTTCAGGAACTAATGTCACTCTTTCAACTTCACCTTGACTGTGTGTATAATATTGTGAAACAGTAGTTCCTTAAATTTCGTGCATGTGTATATGTATGACAATGTTAAGTATCCTAACTGATAACTTTAAGAAAATAAAGATAATATTAACAATATTTATTTCTTCTTAAATTTAATCTAACTTGTAGGGGATTTGCATTAAAAATTTTATTGCGTTTTTCAGGTAGATAATTAGAAAAATTGGATGTAGAAAAATGAAAAATCATTGTTTATTGAGTATTTTTTGATAATCTGCCTGACAGATTTAATACAATAAGGAATTTTTACCATGGCAGATTCCAATGATACAAGTGTACTTGGAAATAATTGTATTTCATGTTAACGTACATTCCAACTAAGGCATGCACATATTTGGTGGAGATCAAGTGCTTGTTTACATTAAACATGTTTGATATGTGTACATACACACACTCACACGTATCGTAAACTTATTAATTTTTAATCATACTAATAATATAACACGTATTTTTTAAATTGTGTTACAAATTATATATGAGTAAAAAAAGTAATAAAAACGCACGAGTTTTGATTTCACTTTTTAAAATTTTTGACTTGCTTATGTTTGGTGCGTTATTCTACAAGACTCAAGAAATTTTGTAGAAATATTAATTGTGATGATTTTTTTTTTTAAATAATTAAGTGCCTATACATTCTTACTTATTAAAAAAANTTTTAAACAAACACTATTATTACTAGTTTATTCAGAATTTAGGTTGAATAATTTTAAAAACTTTTCCATTACATCATATAATTTTCTAAGCGTATTAAAAATATGTAATACGTATCAAATTTCACTTTCAATGTGATATAATTTCAGGTAATGATTATTTATTAGTTTCAAGAAACAATAGTGCGAGGATAACAATTATCCTGGAGATGTATGGGTACGAAAATTTTCAAGATTATATTTTATTATTGGCCAAAGGGCCCTGATTAGTTACAGGTTCATTTACTTATCAGTCGCCATCAAAACCTCATAAACGAGCTGTTTTCGATACTCTCAGTGTCATCTCTTGGAGTTTCAAAGGACTTAGGGAACGACTGTACTTAGTAGAGAAAATATCAGTTTTATTTCATTATGATTGTGTCACAAAATTTTTTTTTTTCGATTTTTGAAGAGACAACTATTGGGGTACGAAAATAATCATCTTTGGCATGATAAAAATGGTTTTATTTGTACTACTTTAAGATTTGAAAGCTTTAGTAACTTTTTTTACGATTATGCAAACTGTTGCTGCGCTTCGTGAAAATTTAAGACTATTAATTTTGGCAATTGGTACAGAAAGCATACGCTTGGTCTTGCACATTGTAAATGAATAAGTTAGCCGTATTAACAACACCGATAAAACCGTTCATTTTTTAGTCTCAGTTTGATATGAATAAAATATACCATAAAGTTTGAAAAGTTTGTGATATTGATACTTAAACTCGATTACATGAACATATAATATAATGTAGATACATATACTTGACCAATTATTTTACTTTTTTTTTTCACTTGATATCGATGACACGTTTTTCATACTTCCTTTAATCGCTAGCCTAGTGTAGAATGTGCCACAGCTCAGGATTTTTAAGTTAGTATATCTATGTCGGATGCAAATATACTTTACCATTGCAGGGAAAGGGGGATTGTGCCACTAGTATTGTTGGTTTAACAAATACACATGTATATATTCAAATGGATAAAGAAAATAGATGGTTTAAATAGTAAAGAAATAGTTTTATTTACTAATTTAGAACTTCACAATAGCTTTATTTTCATATTTAAAATGTCGTTGCACAGAATTGGCAGTCTTCCTCTCAATTTGCACCACGGCGTTGATTACATGTAATGATAATAGTAAAAAACGGGCGTGCAAACATTCATCTGTTTTTTCTTTCTTTCTTTTTTTTTTATAAATTTATAAAATACATTTTCTAATGCCTAAGTGTCTTCATTCGTTAACCCTACAAATAGGCACACTATGAACATTATGTAATAATTGACGGTATCTTTAATCGCTTATATGCTAACTATTTTTTGTTTGTTTTGTTTTATTATCTCTTAATCGAATGATTAAACAATAAATTTTGCCCTTCTGCCTTTGATATTTGCTCATCCGTCATTCTCTCAAACTCTTCACTCATCAAAGCTAGCTAGTTAACGAAACTTTATCACTCAAAAAATGGGACTTTGACGTTATATGCGTAAAATGACATTCATATATTTATTTAACCATATGTATATATGTATAATCGAGCTCTATGATCTACATAAGTAGCAGCATTCATTTTTTTTTCTTCTTCATGTATAATATGTCTAAACTTAGAATATCGTCTTGCGATGCAAGACAGAGAATCTATCTTCATTTGTCGCTAAACGTAATGCACTCATCATTTTTACTCTGCGTGTGTATGTGTGTGTCTACACAAGGCCATCATGTATCGTAACAAGTCGGATTCGATGGACAGTGGTAAAGACAATTAATGGGCTAAAGGCAGTATCGGGCTATTAGTGAAAAGCTGTCCTGTGATATTACATGGTCACCTTATCGGAGTTTTGTAGAATGATAACTTATAGGGTTTTATTTTTTTTGTGCAGTAAAACTTATTCGTCAAAACTATTCATCAAACGGAATATTTTTTTATGGCTTTAACAGAACACAGTTTTTTTTTCTTCAACGGTTTTTTTGACCTTAAAAAATCATGAATCGCGTAGAAAAAGAATGTTTTCCTTGATTATTTAATACAGAGTAATTATACTTTAAAAAGTGTATGCATCTGTCAACGTTACTTCGCTGTTGGTATCAATTTAATAACAAAAACATATTCACAAAATTTTCAACATATCTCACGAAATATTTCATGGATCGACGTATTAACTAAAGGCTTCGATTGCACTAAAAGAATTTTACGAGAAAATTAAGCAGACAAAAAAAATTTAAGGAAAATTGGCAAAACTAGTAACTTACAGTTACGAAAAAAAGTACGAAAATTATATCGAACATCCTCAATGCTGAATATAACAGTGAGTTTGGTGAAACCCGAGAGACAATAGTTTCAAAGCATTTCTCTCAATTTCGTATTAAAATTCAGTAACAATATTTAATGATTACTATAAATAATTTGGCAAACTCGAGTAAAACTTGATAATTCGATTTATGCGTACAAAAAAGCTACATAACTGACATTACAATGAACTTGAGCGAATTTTTCGGAGATCTCCAACATTTAAGGACACTTGTGATCCCACCGCGAGACAAAATCGAATCATTTATATATGTGAAAAATTGTTTATAGTTCAGGAGGGAAATCTATCTACTGCATTCCGAGCTTGGAAAGCTATATCACGCAGAAATCTGTAATGCTATATGGCATTAATTATAAATTATTTACGTATATAATATATACTGTGATGACGTAACAACGCAAAATTTACCGGTAAAAGTTCTATTTGACGCGTACATTACCTAACGGGAAATGAACAAAAAAAAAAAAAACATCATGATACATGTAATTGTAAATCAATGCGTATTAAACATCATCCTGGCTATTAGTCGTTGGTCCGAAGGGTATACACATGTGTGGGTGGGCGGCGACTCGCCGTTTTATCATTTATTTCTTCCTTCTTTGTTCCAGCGCCCGTCATTATGATGTGCCACTGTAACATTCATTATACGTACGACGAAGCGAACAACTTTTTTTTTTTTTTTTTTTTTTCTTTCTTTTATTTATTTTACTTTTCACACGTATACACGCTCACAGCCTGCGAACGCGGGTCTCTACGCGGCTTCTCCTCACTTTGGGATATCCTCCATCTTGCACACAAGTCTCCGCCATGCACTTATCTATCGAATGCTCGCGCGTACCCATGTACAATCACAACCACACATGCATAAACAAATACACATCATCTTCATAACTCCCGTGGCCTCGATGTCATCGGTTTCTGTATAGACTGCACTCTCTCACGCACATGTAGGTATACTCGATTCATTTCTCCGGCTCCCAAAACACTACACGAAAGTGAAATTTTCCTAATTATTCTGAACATGCGTGGTTGTAAATGTAATATGTACTTCGACGATCCACTCGATGCGTTTCCTCCAAGGAAGATGGGAATCTAACGAAAGTGCTGGTCCGAAACGTTCCACTTTCATCCATCTTGTTGCTTTTGTTGCTTTCTCATTCGAGATGATCGAGGGTAATTGACAACGACGGTATAATATGGTCGTGCAGTACATACATGTATATTATATTATAGTGGTGCTGATGCGGGTTACCCGTTGGAATCGTGTTGTACAGTTAGGGGAACGAAAAATATGTCATTATACATCCCGCGCTTCGTCACCGTATCACATGTGAATTATCTTGGAAAGTTCTCTTGGGGCTCTTCTACATCACGGCCTCCTTACATGTCCGTGTCCTTTTGGAATTTTTCCATCTCGGGGTACACGGGTGACATGTCGATTGTGCTGGGCGCCGAAGGCACCGAGGTCGGCGAGGCGCCGCTGCCCGATGAGCCCATGTGCAGCCGATGATCCAACTCCTCGAGCACCTCGTTGAAGAACATTACGTTTATGTTCTGGCCCAGCAGGTGGAGAAGCAGAAAGTCACCAATCTGGAAGTCAATCGAACGTTGAAATTTACGTGTGTGTGTGATAAAATATACCCTAAGGGGTTACCATCGGGGTTACCACAGGGTTAGGGTGTAAAAAAGAAAAAAGAAAATATCCGTTTAGTATCGAGTACCGTATTTGAATTCAAAAAATGATAATTTGTTGAATATAACTTTGAAACAATGTCCCACCTGAGTTTTCCTGACCAGAGCTTTAGCACCCGCCTTGGTGTTGAACTTGAATCGCCTCTTGAGAATGTACTCGCGGGAGTTGGGTAACAGTACGATGATCATACTGTAGATGAGTGCTGCCCCGGACATGATGGCGAGTATGATGAACCAGAACCAGAGGAAAACGTAGATCTTCTCGTTGATGATGTTGAGGGCCAAGAGGCACAAGGCATCGTGTTTTTGTATACCCCCTGACGGACCAAACTTGTGGAAGGTACACTTGGTCATTCGTGGAAAGATCGCCACCATGGGATCGTAGCGCTCTTCCTGGTTCATGTTGGCGAACTTGAACACCTCCCAGCCGTAGCTCAAGAAGCTACCTCCCAGGAAACTGTCCACCATGAATATATTTGTTATCTGCAATGACATGAAACGATGATGATGTTTATCATTGTTGCCGACCTCAATTCAATGAAGTACGTATGGAGTAGTTGTGTTTAAACAAGTTCTGAGAATTTTTACTAAAGTATATGAAAGATACAACGTATTCGATGAAGATTAAGTGTTTAACGTAATCTTTTGATCGTGGATTTTTTATTATCAGTTTGTTAAAAATATACTCAAGTACGCATCTTTGTGTGCACTGGCCAAAAATGTAAGAGGTTGAAACGTCTTGTGAAATTTCAAAATTATTGAGTTTTGTCGACACAGTTGGTTAGAGTACACTCATGTGTGTTTCGATAAATTAACTTGCTATAAAAATGAATACCGACAACTGTTGTACGTGCGCATAAACTATGGGTATTATCTTATCTTTAAAAAAATTTATCGTCATGTGATTCAGTACTTTTTATTCGCAATAGTTGGTAGCAGAAAATCCACGCAGTTAAGAAGACGATTGAAAAACTTTTAATTGATACTTTCAAATCGTAATTGACTATACAATATTATGAAGTAACAATAAAGTTATTTTGATTGTTTTTCCAAGTTTTTTCTCATTATAGATCTCAAATTTCACACAAATAATGTTTTTGTGATATCAGCAAAACTATTGTAAATATACAAAAGCTGCGTATTCTGTAAATTAACTGCATCCTAGAGATACAAAATGTGTAGATGTGTGACGAACCATCAAATTTTTTGATTTTTTCGTATTACTTTCTTATTACAATTAATTTTAAACTTGTAATATTAATTACATTTAAAATTCATCACAACTTCTAGTAATTCCAGAAGAACTAATGCTGAAATATGGACTTGGAGTCCTATGCTCGTTGCTGTTTTGTATAGACTACACGAACGAAATGTCCCTAGCTTACAATCGACAATCCATCTTTTGCATGAACCAACTACCAAACTACTAGGTCCATCAGGTAAAAAAAAAAGCACCAACTTACCACATTAACGAAGTTCAAGGCCTCGCAGAAAAAGTATCCAGCTGCATAACTGTTGTGGAGATGCAGCGTGTCGTAAATGTACTGTACGAGCCGTTGCGTGCGAATTTCTCGTTCAGCTTTCGTGTCCATGGTGGCGCCTCGCATGCCCTCGGATATAACGCGTATTTTGCCATTCTCCCACTGCTTCCACATCCAGTGGGGCGTATAGAACAAGACACCTTGGAAGAACAGCACGATGGGCACCCACTGGTAGTACGAATGGTACTTCTTCTCGTTGGCAAAGTCATTGGTCACGCCTGGGTGGGCAACTTCAGTTCCTACGAGTTTGGTATTGGCACCGGGTATGGTGAACGTGTAAGTGATCCAGCAGAACGTGTTGATGACATTGATGGACACCCCATCCGCGATGCAGTCTATGGGACTACCTGCAACAACAAGAGGATCATCGTGAGGTGGTGGATTCTTGAAATGAGGATCCAATATCCCATATAAAAGTATAACGTGGTACACATTTTCTAAGCTTTTAGATCCATTGGTTGGGCCATTGCGTGGAGATAAAAGTGTTCTAGGGACGCTACTCCGATCGTTTGATGTCTCTTTCATGACGAAACGTAATAGGCTTTACTCGTACAATAGAACAAAGCATCAATTCCACGGCCTATTTGAGTTTTTAATTTAACTATCAATTGCGCCCGAGAGACTCGTTAAACGCGTCCCCCATATGGTGTTTTATACCTTGCTATATGGTATACCTACCAAGTGTTTGGATTAGCGAGCAAAACGGAGGCTATCTGTACTGCGCGATCAAACGAGTTTCTTGCGAAATCTGAGCTTTACGGTGCAACGGGGAAAAACTTTGCCGCTTTGATTTTTGCGCACACACGTAAACGATCAGGTACTGCACGAGCGAGCCGAACGTTTGTATTTATAAAACACCGCGAGTGAGTGAAAGGCAAAGTGTCCCGGGGCAATACAGGGTAAAATAGATAGGTGTGTGTATTATCATGTACTCACCTATCAGGTGGTTCGCTGTGACTACCATGCAACAGGCGAACAGAATTGCCGAGGTGATTCTGTAGTGCGCCCTGAAGACTACGTTGTCGATTGTGGCCTTGTCGATTAAATATCGTACTTTGACGAAGCCGGCGACGGCCGAGAGCAGTCCGAACACCGTCATCTTTCACGGCTTTTGTTTCTGGAAGTAAGCAGAGATGACGAAATCGTTAGTTGTTTGCATGGAGTCACGCCGACGAGTCCTGGACGGAAAATGGCACTTTTTTCATTCGATACAAAGCTTTGTTAGATTTTCTTACATAAAAATTCTCTGTTAACTAAAGTTTTCAATATTTTCCCTCAATAACGTCAACTTATTCTGTCAAACGATTGTATTTTTGTCTTACAATCGATACATGAATCAAGTCGTCTGATCGTACTCTATTATTAGAGAAAAAAAAAATTCCACAAACACGCGCTGCTGCTTGATTTCGTTGCGAAAAGCACATATTGAATCGTAGCCCCGAGCAATCGGCCTACACAGAGATTTTTGAACCGATTCTCCTCTCCACATGGAACGTATTGCGAGTTAATGGCGAGCCTCGACCGGTAATATTGTGAAACACACCGCGTACGCAAAACGGCATTTAAAATAACTTTTAAAATGCCAACGAGCCTTTATGAATTATATGAATTATGCATTTACCGAGAGATAGAGTATTAATCCAACCTGCGTATAATTGCGGTAATGTTTTATCGTATGGGAGCCTATGTGGGATAATTATACCATCTGAGCCAAAGTTAAGCAGAGTCGATCGAGCGTTGAGCACGGTTTTGTTTCAATTTATCAATGGAGAGCTAATAATCGGTCACCAGAAAGAAAAAAAAAAAAAAAAAAAATCACCTTGTAAATGAAACAAAAAGCAAGAACTGCGGTGAGCAAACAACTCACTCTAATTTCGGCAAGCAAACAACTGTACTAAAAAAAAAAAAAAAGCACTTTGCACGACCGGGGAGTCTTGCCAGAAAAAATTGTCACGTCATCACCGCGAGAGTCACTGCCGGACACTGAGTGCCGAACTCTGGCTGCTGCGACGACAACTCGAGAGCGACAATCAAGGGACGGACGATGGCGTGTGTGTTGTACGGCTGATGGTCCACACAGTCCACTCGCGGCATTAAAGTCTCGCTTCCGGCCCCTCACGATGTATTATGCCCCACGTGGGCTACTATACGTGCCACGCACTACGCGCGACTGTATCTCCTTCTTCCGTCGGGCTATTCGTTATCATCTTTAATACCGGCAAAGGACATCATGCTTGTGTTGTCTCTACCGTTCTAAAATGATTACAGTTGAGTAGGAAAATTCTAACGCATAATCAACGATCGATTCCATCCGAATCCGTTAAAAGCGATCCAGGGAGTATTTTAACTCGAAATCAGAGTCCATACTCTTAAAATTTATTTGGATTTACGCGTTCGTCATTTCGATGGTATTCGCTCGGTGCTGTGCATCGGTATGAATTTAATCGAACGGACAACGCGGTGACGAGACTATTTTTATTCCAACTTATCATTCCCTTCTACATTACCACCATCGTCATGGCGGGCCACAATAAGCACAAAGAAGAAGAAGAGCAGTGGTGGTGTCGGGTGTATTTGGCGCAACGCGAGCCATGGTCCGACCGCGCCGATCTCGAGCTTCGACGCGCGGAGTTGTGTGGGGTGTTGTCGCATCTGTGGTGCGACTCATCTTGTTGGTGTTTATTTTTTTCTTTGTTTTATCTAATGAAAACAGTGAGCATCTCCGCGCTAGAGATAAAATTTGTTATTCTGATTGGTTAATTAATAACGGTTAATCGAAGAAGTGACCGGTGCTAAACAAGTAATTTTCGTCTGTCTTTGTGAGGATCAATCGAAAACTAGAGGGGAGGGGCGCATTGACTTTAGGTACACAGTAGCCAGATTCGTGTTTTATTTCTCGTGGAAAATCACCTCGTACCAATAAAAGTGCTTATGAACGTAGTTCCCGAACTGTTTGCCTTTCTGAGAAGTATTCAAAAGTGTGCCGCATCAACAACAAAAAGTACAAAGCAACGAGCTCGCGTTGTGCTGGAAAAAACAATTGACGTAGCAGAAATTCCTAAACGAAGAAAAACGTGTTGGAATCAACTTTCTTGATTCACAGTAAAAGTCGAGGTTTGACCAAAGTATAGTATATAACAGCATGGCTCTTTATTTACACGTTGGAGGGAGGAAAAACAAAAGAATCCCGATGGAAAGTGTGGGTGGGGAAAGACCATCGTATCAGCACAATCGGCTAGACCCTGAAAAATCTTAACTATTATAAGTACGACAGAGCCGTGATGGCACCACTGTAACGCACGACGCGCTGATTATATATACGGAGTGTTTATTAATCGGCCCCTGCAGTGGAGAGACGCGCGGGCATTGTGTCGCGTATGGGTCAATCACCAAGGAGTCTCGGTCGCGCTCTGTGCTTTTGTACATGTGGTGCCTCGTTCGTCTTCGTCTTTCTTATTGCGGACTTTGTTTTTTTTGTTCTTACTCTCGTTTCACGGTTAACTATACGTGTTCCCATTGCCGGTAATAGTCGCTTGTGTATAATAGTTGCTCGCTGCTTTCTGCCCAGTGGACTAAAATTTGAATTATATGTTCCTTAGGTCTGTTTGAGATTGAAGTCAAAGGATGGTTACAGCGTAAAAAATTGGGGGGCCACGCATCCCTTAAGTCATCAGAAAAAAGCCGCAAATGTCTCCAAAAGATTTTAAACTCGTTTAATGTCACATAAAGTCTCTAGAAATCTCTAAAAGCTTAAGACCTCCAAAACGAAAAACTTTGAAAGTTTACTAAAAAATTTCAAAGTCATTCAAGACTTTTAATGAATTTGAAGTCTTTGAAAGTCTTTTAAAGTCTTTAAGAGTTTTTAAAAGTTCGCGAAAGACTTTCAATAGTCTCCAAAAGATTTCAAAGTTATCCAAGACTTTTCATGACTTAGAAGCCCCTCCTAAAGTATTTCAAAGACTGCAAAAGTATTGAAAAGATCTCGGACTTTTAATCCTGACTTTCAAACGCGTAAACCCTCGTGAAAAAACCCTATTTAAGGCACAGACGACGACGACGACGACGATGATAAAAAATTGCGCCAAAGAAACCTATGAGCAAGTCGAGGTTGAGAGAAACTTGGGCCGACTTGGCGTTGCAAAACCCAAGCTCGTCGAGCCAACCCACACGAAGAGAGGCTCAACTGGTTTTGCACGACGACAGTTACGCCTATATATGTACATGCAGGCACGCATATGTGCAGACGCGGGGATCGAGTTTCGCAGCTTTATGCCGTTATACATGCGTCCGCCGATCTACTGATTTTGCGCGCACACGTGCGCCCATAACGTATATCCAAGTGATGTCCATGCACGAGCTACGCGTCTTCGATCGTTCGGCCGGGCACTCGATACTCTCTGTACTCATATACACATCCTCTGCGGGTAATTTAATTATTGTTTTTCAAACTGTTGAGTATCCGGTGAACGGAGTCAACATGATATTCCGGATGCACCTTACCAGCTTACAAAAAAAGTGCACGGCTTATTGTTTGTTTACTGATGTGCGTGCATGTGTCACTTGACTTGTCGAGTGGGTTAAGGAATTATTTTATACTCAGGCGGATTAAAGTGTTTCGAAAAGCAGAGACATTTTTGGCGGAGAAGTGTACGGAATAACGTACGTGTCTTTGTAATCGTACTTTCAAGAGTAACGTATCATTTGTAAAAATTACATTATTGTCCACGAATCCTTCTTTACACGAGAGCCTATAAATAAAAACGTGAATTAAATTTTTGACACGTACTTACTTCTATTCAATATATCTCACCAATTAATTGTGGATCTTCATTACAATTGTTTAACGAAAAAGGAGTATTTAATGATGGTTTATTATTATCTTATACATTGCTAATAAAAGTTTGTAATTTCAACCCAATTTTTTATTTGCTTTTAAGTGGGTAATTTTAGTCTTTGACAGTGTGTATTAATTATACACACACTCAAAAAGAGTTGTTTAAAAAAATTTTATGTGTAAATAATAAGTAAATAAACTACACACTTCGATTCGCAGTGATAAGAAATAAAACTCCCTCCACGAAGGACTTGTATGAACTCAAAGCTAACACAGTTGAGAAATAAAGTGATGATCGAGAAATGTATACAGTACACGCGCTTATACGGTCGAATAAACCGATGTCGGCGTGGAAGATGATTGTATGCCGTGAAAAGAAGCTCGAGCATTCCTTTCTCTCATGAATATTAGATCAGTCCCCTGTAATGTACAATTCGTCGAACTTGCATGCAAATTTTTCGTCTCATCCAATTGATATTAATTTATGTACCGTCGAGGGATTACGGGCGCAAAATTAATTATTGCGATTTTTGTTAGTTTTATAAAACACGAAGCAATATTTATTACCATTTAAACTAGTGGAAAATACTTGAGTGTATAATAAAAAAAAAAGAAAGCAACCAACACTTTGTCGAAGCCCGTAATAAGTGATTGAAACTTTAAGCTTATAGTTTTATTCGTAGTAACCCACTAGATGTTCCAAAAACGCCATAACCTCAAAATATCACACGTCTGGCGCACGAGAACGCCAGTTGGTGAGTTTCGGTGATTCCCTCCGCGTAATGACAAGCTCGAGAGAAAATGCGTACCAACACTATGGAATTACATTCGATTCGTCCCTTCACATTATACTATTATACATCAGGCGATACGAATCATTACGCCGTATACGACGCCGCCACGTCGAAAAACTCGCTGCTCGGCTCTCATGAATTATTCAGTCGAGACTTTTGCCTTTATTCTCCTCCTCCCCCTCTTTATTCATCTCTTGGTGAGTGTACAGCGCTTATTATACGATAGTTTTTTTGTTTTTTTTTGTTCGTCTCCTCTCGCAGGTGTAGTGTACATGTATTATACCTAGCCGGTGAAAGGATGTACGCCGGTGCGGCGTGATCGTATACCTACGTGCAAGAGAGTTTCGCCTCGGCTTCTTTATGGATTTTACAGTTATGGAGGCTGGTTGGCGCACCTTCGTTTGTACACTCTGACGGGTCGAAGGCGTGTATACCATATTTATGGTGATTTTCGCGAGATATGTATACAAACTCAGTTGCGGCGAGTTC